TGGCTTGAATCCAAAGTGGTGGCAATCTCAGTGCTGCCAAAACTAGTCTGACTGATACGAAGGCACCAAGGGCTTGGTTTGGGTGAGAAAATCCATACAGCCTGGCCATAGTTGTGGTGGGAGCGTTTGGACACTATGGTAACCAAAATCATCTATATAAGCGTCTATAATATGTCTATTATGCTTCCCCAAGACTGCTATCTTTATGGTGCTCAAGAAACAGTATCACAAGAACCCCCCCTCAAGCCACCAAAATATATTTGCACTTGGTTCTTTTGATGTCGCGAGCGGTCATCAGGGCTGGTCACGCTCTTTCCAGGTGGACTCATTAAAAGCCCATGGTGGAAACTGTGTGTGTGTGTCTCAAAATGGTAAGCCCAAGCCAGCTTCGTAGAAAAAGGGCAAACTCACTGAATACCTAGTCTCCGCTCATTAGAAGCCTAACCCAGATTCAGATCTTCCCCTTTACCCTGTGAATTTGATGAGCCTTCGATGACTTCCAACCTGACCGCTCCCAACGATCTCAGATCTCTGTTTACCCGGACGGAGCACCTTCCTCCGCCTCCCGGACGGCCCCGTCCCCCGGCCTTGGCGGTGCCGCGGCCGGACTCGATGAGATTGCCGTCCAGGACCGGAAGCAGGTCGAAGACGTCTTGACGAGGACCAGGGCCGTCTGGTGACCCCACACGGCGGACCTCGTTTGGTGTGCGGAAAACAACAAACCGGTGGCTGGAGGTGTTTCACACGGGGAGGTGGAGGGAACAGCACTTACAAAGGAATATTCAATAGTCCTAAGATATCCTGAATCACTGAGGCTTTTGGACCTGCTCCGGTTTCCAAGAACCCCAAGTCACTTATAGGTCTTCTCCCCCCCCTCCCGGCGACGGCCTCGTCGATCCAATCTTCTGCACCACCGTAAAGTGCCAATGCCCAACATGCTGCCTGGCCCAACGAGATCTCGGTGTTTCTGCGGAGATTCTGTCGGATGGGAAGGATATAGAAGGATTTGGTTGCACTGATAGGGCAGACGAGGAGATAGGGCAGTAATGCACATCTATAGGGGGCTTTCCCAAACAACAAATCTGGAAGACATCAACAGCTAGTCTCTCTCTCTCACACAATCTGTATTGTGCGCTAGATGTAGAATGCAGCCATGGGCCATGAAACAGTACAAGTCGTGGCAAACAAGCCAACATTCTCCTGGCTGTCCAACAAACAGTGAGCTGAAAACTCAGTCGATATAGGAATTTCCACTGTCTAGGTCACCAGACTGGGATCACTGGCTGCTCTCAGCCAGGCATCCATTTTCAGCGGTGGTTCATGACGAAAACGACCGTATGACCAAACCAAGGATTGTCTGGTTAAGACATCCGTGAAACACTCTAAAGGAGCTCCACGTACCGAAGCGATGATCTTTCACCCATCACTTCGGGTTGCTGATCGGCTAGGGATCTGCTGGTGACCCGATCCGGAGCGCTTGGGGAGAACACGGAGCGCCTCCAGGTCCTTCTGCTCGGGGGCGGTGGTGAAGATATAATCCCCTCTAGGCGAAGCTTTCCTGCGTTGGTGGACTCCGGCGGGGGGTCAGGCGGCCTGGGTCAGTCAGGCCCACAGAATGGGTATACATTGCCGGTCCGGCGAGATTCGATACATCTTGATGCAGGAAGCGTCCTGGTCCTGGCTCTTAGAATCCTTAGAAGTTGAAAACAAAACAACCAAACACCTAGTTGACAACATTCCATGGTCCGCAACTCCATCCACTGTTTCTGGAATCATTTCAGGGGATCAATCGGAGCATCTAAGGGATTTGTGAGCATCGCACCAACAAAACACCAGTCGCCACTCATGGGGATAGAAAGGGTCCGTCCCCCCTCGACAAGTAGATCCTCCAGTGAATAGAACAGTTCATCCGATTCTTCCTGCAAATGTTCATCTGCCATCATATGCCATGGTTGGAGTTGTGGCTTTGATCTGCGCCAACATGACAGTCCAGCTACCCCTCCAGGCCATTCTCGACGGTCGCTCCTTGAATTTAAGAACTTTTGCATGGCACAGTTTGTGCCCTGACACGAGATGGCGGAAGCTCAATGTTCTTGTGTGTGTGGGTGGGTGGGGAGGGGTGTCTTTCAGAGTAATGGATGTTCAATGTAGCCTCCACAAAATGTTGTGGTATTGATTCTTTGGAGCCACACATGTCCCGCACAAAGACAACATCAGGACTGTGACTATAAATATATATATATATATATTATAGTATGTTAAATACAATATGCATCTTTTCTCCGCGAAGGCTCATGGATTTGTCCTGGATTCTGAGGAGCTTGCATGTGAACTGTATACAGTACAATTGAGGCTTCTAGTGATCTGTCCTGTACATAAGATCATGCACACAGTACAGCCTCAAGCATAATTAGAACAGTGATAACACTTAAGCCGACAGAACGTCAACATACGAAGTCTCATGCTTTTGTCCCTGTTCTTGGTGGCTGCCGCTCCTCAATGCATTCTACAATTGTGGAATCCGTGTTAGGAAAGGGAGAACATCACCAGATGACCCGTCCTAGTCTTCGAAGGGTTGTCAAACCGGCTTCAAACGTGGACCCCTGGATCATCCTGGATCTCATGCTGCTTGAGTGCCTGGATTACCAGGTAGTGGAATCGCCTGTAGTGGCTCGCCTTTTTTGCATGTTTTTTTCTCTACGAACCCAGCTTGCGTTGCGTTTCATGTGTTTTGTTGTCGGTTCGTGTTGGCTCCCTCGAAGGGTCCACCCATGATCCCAACCTGAACCTGGCCCACCTGGGTCTTCTGGGACCAACCCCTGTGGTGACTTTCACATGTAGTGACCAACCCCTGAGCTCGTCTTCGAGCTCGTCTTGGATATAGAAAGAACCCCTGAATACCACAGGTCAAAGGACGAGAATACTTCTTTGACCGCTTCACCTGCTACCCACCTGGCCCCGCTTCACCTGGCCGTCGCTTCGTGCGGCCTTGCCCCACACTCCGCTCACGCCATCTCCACGGGGTCCGTCGCGTCCACAGCTGAAGCCCTCGTCCGAGGACGGTGGGACGAGGACTGCTGTGTGTCATGCGGGACACCAAAGGAAGGAATATGGTGAGTGTCCCGCAAGCATCCGCAAGCCCAAAAGGACCCAAAAGGATTGTTGGTGAGTGTCCCGCAAAACGGACGCAGTTGTGTTCTTATATAGGAAGGATTCTTCTCTATAGTCTGACAACCCCAAAAGGCTCTGTCGAGAAAAGAGAAGAAAGAAGACATGAGAAGCATGAAGCATGATGACATGAGACTAGCATCCATGTTCCACCATGTCCTCGACGGATTCGGCTCAGAAGTGTGGCACCGCGTCGCACAGCTACGACGCTCGCATGACTCCTGCAAATGACTCCTACGTTGAGGCCGGCCACATGCACCCTGACGTCTTGGCTGACCCGCCAAATTGGGAGAATCACCCTGCACCCAGGGCCATCAGAGAATCAATGTTGCTTCACCAGGCCTCTGTAGCGAGAAAAGATGAGAAAAGAGTCATAACCTGTTCCAAATAGGGCAAAGCTCTGCCTTGCATTGCCCGGAGCAAAAAGAAGAACCCTTGCGGACAAAAACAATGGAAAAGACACCCGCAAAAACACAATGGATTCGTGATTTGTCAAGATGTTGCGCGAGGACTCTTGAAAGGTCTTCTTTGGCTCCACGGATAGTTAGATTGAAGCTGGAGCAATCTCCAAAGGCAAACTCTTTGCTGACCTGTTCCATCTTCTCTTTTCTTTCAGGATATTTTGGGACTACAAAAAGACATTTCTGGTTGTAAACCATGTGGGGAGGTTGAAGACCAAGCAAAAAGGTTGATTCTTGAAGCTCATTCATCGCCTCACATCGCTCGCCAGGTCTTGCCTCGTCTCTCAGCCAAGCCTGGCTAGACATGGGCAGACATCCAATGATGTGTAGCTATAGATAGATAGTCCTACACATCAACAAATGTTCATCAAACTTCCATTGGAACAATAATGAAAAAAACTGTTGCCGTTTGTGTTTCTACTACCCCAATGATAGGCTGCTAGCCGATGCAGCTTGGGTGACGCTCAGTCAAATGAGTCAAATGTCTTACTGTAATTATAGTCATCACGTCTGCCTCACCCCGGTCGCCTGCAGAGCCAGCACAGACACGGCACCAAAGTCGCCATCGATGAAGCTCACATAACGGCCCTGAAAACAAGTCTTGCAAACACTGGTGATACGAAAGAAAGTCTTGAAATCAATCCAACGCACCGAACCAGCTCGTGGGAGCGGACCTGCATCCGGAGGAAGTTCTGCAAGCCCTGCTTGGTGGCGAGGTCAAAAATGCCATTGACCTCCACATTCGGATTGTCCTCCACCAACAACTCCTGGACACGCGGTCTTGGTCATCCGAAAATTGGTCCAAACGTGGTTCAAGAGGTCCAAAACGCGACGCCACAATTCCACCCACGCGACACCGGGAACACCACAACCGGAACCTCTGTCCACTCTGAACCAACCAGGGTGGGCGACCCCAATCTCAGGACCAACCAACATCCTAGCGATCCAAAAAAATTGATAGTTTTTCCAAAACTAGTTAAGACCACAAACTGTCAGGATCCTGTTCCACTTGGACGCTGCAAACACTTGAATCCTGCAAAACATGAGCGGATCCTGTCCCGCTCACTGCTTCAGTACCTGTTCCACCTCGATCCACGTCGATCGCGCAGCGGTCCTGGAGTCGTCGGATGGTGGTCTCTTTCCACTTGCCATCGATCACCAGGTCCTGTTTTCACGGGCACAGCGGTCTCCCGGGTTTGGTGATGGCCGGGCAAGTGAGGGACCCGGTGACCGGTGGCTGTTGGGGAAGGTATTTTTGTGGAATTTCCTCAGCTGGCAAGACTTCAAGAGATGTGAAGCTTCATGGCCATGCATCTTGGCTGATCCACATCCAAATGTTGTTGTCGGCCCTGACATCCACTGCATTTCCCTTCTGCATTTCTGAGAGCACTGAAATCTTAGATACTATACGTATAGATTCTACTCCCGAAGATTGCAAAGCATAGGATGCCCAGCACGAGCATGCAAGACTCAGACTGGAGTCGATTTCAGAACGATCAGTCAACAAGTTCTCCAACATCTCCCAACTCTGCAACTTGCCACAGGATGCCACAGGAGTGTTTTGGCAGGTTGACTCCAAAAAGAGCACCCCTTGCACATCCCTCGTCCGCCCGAATTTCTACACCTTTTGAGTCATCCATTCCATCAGCGCGCAGCTGATTCAGCCGCATCAGCGAAGGCTGCTTGTCCCACCAAATGAACCTCCAGGAAAAGCCCGGGCTGCCTGCTGAGCGCTTGGCCCAACAAGCGTCCTACCTCGCTGGGATCATTGCCATAGGCACCACATCCTAAGTCCGGAAGCACCAGCGCACCCGGACGCCCCAAAGCATCAAAGGCCACTCCGAGCATGGTGTCAAACTTTTTGAGGATCATCTCTTGATACTTAGTGGCATCTGGCGGTGCATCCACTGGAGCGTCACGAACCTGTCGGTTGCAGTTCGGCATGGCCGCGCTGATTATCGGTACACGCACGACCTGCGGCAAGAAGGGGTATCCCGCATCCGTGCCACCACGGAAGACCTGCACGTCAGGGCTGAGAAGGCACCCATCTTCAGGCAGGTGGCAGGTCCAGGGGACCTTCGGAGCTTTCATGGGAGGCTGACAATACTTTGGGACGGGAATCTGATGGGACTTGGCCAAGGTCTCTGCCACGCGCAAAGAATAGAAGAGGGTGGACCGCATGCAAATGGATTCCTCAAGGGCATGCCGCCCTCCGGTGAGAAAACCGCCCCCTGCATGATACGCGGAGGCTGCATTGATGACCACAGTAGGGCAACCAGCTGCCAACCTGGCGCATGCCACATCCAGCAAACCTCCAGGGGGGTATTTGTGCCACGTTGTCTTGCAACTTCCTCGTCGCAACTGGGTCAACTTCGAGTAGATCTGGGTTCCTTTACACATAGGTGTCAATGCCAATTCCACGCGCTGGCCATCCTCAGAGTTGGTCAGAACAAATGTTTGTATACATATCATATATAGTATAGTTTAAACAATTAAAACACATGTCTGTTTCCGAGTGCCAATTACGAAGACTGCATTGTGATACTATAACTGCAATTGTGAAGGACCAATGAATGAAGCATGGGGACTGGTTACGGACCACCCACTGCCACAGACTTGTCAAGTCGCCCTGAGAACTTATATATATATATATATATTCCACTTCAGGGGTACATACAGTATGTGACTGGTCCCTCACAAGAGAGGGGAAAACCAAGTTAAACAATCAGTTGACAACTTCAGCCGAATATATTTGTCATAATTTTTCCACTCAATTACAAGTTTAAAACCCGACCCCGTATTCCGAAGTATTCCAGGCTGGCTTCGAGGATATAGCCACCAGCTTCACAAACGGCCATCGTTTGCTCTGCCCCAGCCCGTCTCTGCTGCCGGTCGTGTTCCTGACGCGATGAGGGTATCATAGCCATTCTGAAACGGGTTAGAACAGGCCATGGTTGTTCCAGGGCTTGTTCCCAGGATTGAGTGTGCTTAAACCGGTCAGAATACTGCTCAATAAAGGATCTTAAGTAATTTAGAAGTTCAGCCTACCTACAAACACCCATGAATGTCCTGTGCTAGTCATTGGGTGTGGATAAGTGATGAGTCGCGCTGCCAATGCTTCCCCTGCTATGCTTTGGTGCGGCTGAGGTCGCAGCACAAAACAAACTGAGGGAAACCCAAGGACTTGGGAGAATGAGGTGCGCTCTGCACAATACCCTGCACTCCATGTATGGCATACCTACCTACATTGAAGTGGTTAACATATAAAAAGTATATCGCCACCAGCTTAGGGGGGTCCTCCGACCTTTGCAGCACGGTGCCTGTTCCCATCGGCCAAAAGGCTCCTGCAATTGGAATCTGGCAGACTTGTTGAAAGGGCTACGTCCAATGCATGTTGCCATCATCAAACACAAAAAACCTTTGTTTCTACTGTTAAGCAGAAAGATCGAGGACCTAGAAACAATCACCCCGCTGACTTCGCAATTTAGATGCATTGTATATTGGTTGGTGGTTTCATCCCTGTTGAACAATATGAACGACAATGGGGACCATACCTCTATCGGCAATTCACCATCAAGTTAGGATCACCAATCAACCGGTGAAGATTCAACCATGGTCATTCTGAAAAAAACCTGACCTGTGGTCTCTGCCAGCCCGGCAAGAATGTTTCTTGACTTTTCCGATCCGATTCGTGGCTCTGAAAGTGTTTTCAAGTCTTGATACGAGTTTAATGATAAGATATGTACATCGTCCCATTTTCCTAGGCAAATTGATTTAGACACCCTTCCCAGATGTCCACCTTTGCGGGCCCCCTTTTTTGGAGGGAACTCCCTAATTAGGAGGGCCGTGTGTTTAAACAGGTGGAAGGGATGTGAAGGGATTAATTATCTTTAAATATCTTTAATGATTGGGATTGAACAATGGTGATCACCAAAAGTAAATCCAAAGTGGCATTAATGCATCAACCAAACATAATTATTGGCCCCAATCAATCATCCCAACGTCGGTTGAACATTTTTGAACATGACGCGATAAGAATTCTTTGAAACCACCAGCCAAGGCAACCAAGGCTCTCCATTCGCCTTGCGGATCCATTCATAGCCGCCGGCGCCCCTTGCCGGCAGCTTGCCTGCCTGGGGTGACTCGAAGCGTGGAAGGCCGCCTGGGAGAATCGCAGGGAGAGGCGCCCTCGGACATGACAGTGAGGATCATTGATGTGCATTGGGTGTACAGAAACACGCATTGGTTCAGCGACAGGGGAGCCCAGGAAGCCTTTACCAAGTAAACACAACAAATGACAGCAGGAAACTCATGACCCCCAGAGAAAACCAACTAAAAATGATACCACAGCTCCCTCCGACACCATTCCCCACCTGAGGGCGAGGGATCCTCCGAGAAAAGCCCGCAGAAGAGGTCCGGTGCCGGCGGCGAGTCCACCGCGCTGCCGGCCGCGGAGAGAGGAGGTCGACTGATTGGACTGGGAGATGCACCACCTCCTCAGTACTTTTCAGGGTAAAAGAGAGTAAAAGAAAAAACCTGCAGCAAAAAGGCTTCAAAAGGAAGGGTCTAGAGATGTAGCAGCAGAAAGTCTAGAGATCTAGACGCATTGGGGTCCAGAGAGGTGATAAAGTGGAGAATGTGGTGATGGTGGCGGTGGTGGTGAGTGAGTGAGTGAGTGAGTGAGTGAGTGAGTGAGTGAGTGAGCGAGGGAGGGAGGGAGGGAGGGAGGGAGTGAGTGAGTGAGTGAGTGAGTGAGTGAGTGAGTGAGTGAGTGTGAGAGTGTGAGCAAGAGTGAGAGCATAAAGTGCTGCGAAATCTGCACTCTGAGGATTACAAGGTGCTGCGCCTGCCACAAAATCTGCACTTCGAGGTTCACAAAATGCTGTGCCTGCCACGAAGTCTGCGCTTCGAGGTTCACAATTCTGCTGTGCCTGCCACGAAATCTGTACATCGAGGTTCACAAAGTGCTGCGCCTGTCACGAAATCTGCGCTTCAAGGTTCACAAAGTGCTGCACCTGTCACGAAATCTGCACTTCACTTCGAGGTTCACAAAGTGCTGCGCCTGTCACGAAATCTGCACTTCGAGGTTCACAAAGTGCTGCACCTGTCACGAAATCTGCACTTCGAGGTTCACAAAGTGCTGCGCCTGTCACGAAATCTGCACTTCGAGGTTCACAAAGTGCTATGCCTGCCACGAAATCTGCACTTCGAGGTTCACCAAGTGCTCTGCCTGTCACGAAATCTGCAAACTACCCACATGTCCAAAAGTCACGATTCACTGCACCCGTCACGAAATCAGAGCGCCTCGAAGATCACCACCATGTCCAAAGTGCTGCACCTGGCACTGGCACGAAATCTGCATTTCGAATCAAAGCCGCTCCGATCCCTTACGCGCGCCACGAAAAGTCGACTTTGGACCGCCAAAAAAACACGAGGTTCCCTTGCGCCTGCAGTGAGCATCATGTCCGAAAATGCGCACGGCACCACAACGAGAGCGCAGTCGCGACAAGCACCCGGCGCGGCCAAGTAGACTTTGCCAGCCCACGCAGTCGAAATGCACTTCGAGGACTTCGAGAGGCATGAATGCACTGTATGCACTGTAAATAGCAGCGAATTAGCCGGACACGGATGCGCAACACCTCGAATCTAACACCGGTGCTTAACACCTACTGTAAGAAATCCTAGTGTGTCCACACTGTTTGGGGGAAAAAGGAGCACACACATTCAATTTACTATAATACAATATAACATAACATAACATAACAACATAACACAACATTACATATCATATCATAACATAACATAACATAACGAGGGAAGGCGTGTGGTTTGGAGGTGGCTGAAATGAGCAAGCTCGAAAGCCGTTGGAGACGATTAGACTCATCATGGCCATGGTGAAGTGGCTGAACAAGTTGGCCCTGGTGAATCAGCGATTGTGTCACGTGTTGGTCAGGAAAGGACTTCAATGAAGACCTTGTCAGCGTTTGTCAGTGACACAACATGTCTCACAGGTCACGAGGCGACAATTACTCACACTGTGAGGTGATAAGGTCCTGGAGGGGCAGGGGCCATTTTTGTCCATCTGTCTCCGCACTGATCACCCTTTTGGTCCACATCGGTGTGGATGGCCATAGGGGTATAGTGTTAAAGTGCTACCAAACTAAAGACAACAACTTCCAAGTGAATCAACACCCAAGCATGTTCCAATCCCAATCCTTCTTAACTATTATACATTACAGTAACTATTCACCACCCAAAGAACACACACATTCTTTCAGCAGACCAGTCTCCACTGCTTCCAGGGCTGCTTCCCAAACCCTCAGGTACCACGTTCTTGGAACCCACCCAGCCATCCAGCTTTCCGCAGCGGATGCGGCGAAAGGAGCCCTCTTCACCTCGATGCAAGGAGCGCTCGCGCACACAGATCCAAGTCGCATCTGGATGAAACAACTGAGCCAACCCCAAATGACCCCTATTGATGATGGCCTGTTGATGGCGGAAAGATTTCCAAGGGACCTCTTGAAAAACCGCTGCAACCTAACCTAGGGAAATTGTCGCGAGGTTCACAGCAAACAAACTCCCACCCAGGACCAACAAATATCAACCCCTCCCTCGAAAACCGAAAACCAGCCGCCGGCCGCGCCTAAGAATTCCACCAGTGTGCCATTGGGAATGGCCCCAATCTGCCTGAAGCGGTTGGGCTGCTCGTAGACCCAAACCTCTGGATGCCCATCGAATTGCCTGGCGCCGCAGTGATCGTCGCACTGTTGGACATGGGTTACAAGTACAGGTCCATTTTGTACTCGACTCGCAACATAAAAATATATAAAAATCATCCAAAGGGCTTCTCTACAAATCTTTGCCTCCTACAAGCCTCAAGATCAAACACTCTATTATTCTATTCTCCAAATCCTGACATTTCAACACACTGCCCCCCCTCTTCGCCCTGCCGCCTCAGCCTCACCTTTGGTGGCAACGGCGGCCCGGTTGGCCCGCTCGGACCAGGTGCCCAATGGCTGGGCGGCGGCCGGACCACGGCGCCCGCCGGCAGTGCCGGGCCGAAGCCGGGCACGCCCGGCGCCGGGGCACGGTGGACGAGGCTCGGAGCTCCAGGGCCACCCACGTGTGGTGGAAAGGGTAAGAGCGGATTTAAGCCAGCATAGTGAGGATTCATGAACCTCGTGAAGCAAACAGCATGAAATGCACGCAGAGAACATGGCAGAATGCAGAACAGTGTTTGATTTGATGTGTGGAAAAGGGTGCTTGGAAGTGGGTGAAGCATGGTGAAGATCCTGAAGGGGCGAAAATCATTGAGACTTAACATCACAGAACAAGGATAACGTATGACAACCCAGTCCACGCTAATGCACTGAGGAACTGATTGAAATGATTGAAGCTTGGATTCACGTATGGATTCACGTAGGGATTCACCCGTGGCGCTTCCACTGCTCGAGTATCTCTGCCTGTGAGCTCACTGCAAATCTTGGCACCCATCGGCGTGCGTCTCTGCTCCAGCCCATTGCTGGAATGGCATGTTTGGCCAATTAATAGTATGTGCTATATAGCTGCCCGGCCCGCTAGGCTGATGAGTTGAATGCTTTGACGACAAAGACATGCTATGCTGAGTTGCACCTTAGGCAAATTCTGATACCCTAGGCAACAGCTTCTGCATGCTGCATGCTTTGCGAGAAGAAACGCGCATCAGGTCAAAAGGCGATTAGACCTCCTATGTGTCGGAGTGGAAATTTGAGGATCTTCCAGTAACTCTCAGTAACTCTCAGGATTGGAGTCCGGAAGGAATCTCCAAGGGCCCATGACATGGACTGGAACATTTTTGGGTGTGCCCTCGAAGAAGAAGGAGATTGAACCTTGCTTAGGACACGTTCTAGCTCCTCAGCAAGCCACCAGCGTCACAAAAAGGTATGAAGTTGGCTGCTATTGGGGCTATGCGGACTCATGAAATCCATTGGTTTCAACTCACTCAAAGCTGAATCGATGTGATTTCCGCTCACGTTAAAAGAGTTTATCAAACACTGACACTGATAGAAACCCTCCAGCAAAGGAAAGTTGTATGTTGTCTTAAGACCGCCCCAAAATGTTTTGTCTACTTGTACCCATTTGTGCACATGGAGGAAGTACACTCCGACTAGCGCTGGCACTAGCCACACAAATGGAAATGACCCTGCCGACCGCAGATTGGTCCCCAGTCTCCCTTTCTGGTCGGAATGGCAAGTTCACCAACCAAACAGTGCCTCAACCCGCACCCAAGCCACCAGCGTTGATTTGTGCCCCCCAAAACGTTACAACAATCACGAACCGGTGCCACCGGTGACTCACCACTCACTCACGTCACTCTCTGCGTTCGGATCGTTTCTTAGCATCCTGCCTTGTCAATCTGCCCCGCACGCGCGGAGTTGAGGAACAGCTGCAGTGACAGCCGTGTGGCCGTGTGGATGACGCCATCCACACCATCTGCCTGGCGTGCGGTGAGACTGCGAGCGCCCAGCCGGGCGAGACTCGACTCGGACGATGGCTTCGTAGCAAAACGGGGTGAATTCTGTTCATGTTCGATGGTCCACCAGGGTTCACAGGTTTGGACCCACAGCCATCGTGTTGAGGCTATATACCATGGAACACTACCATACAACAATGGAACCCGACCAAATGCACTTCTGGCGTGTCCGATGCTTTGCCGTGAAGATGGATCTTAGACTATATGTATAGCCCCCCAATTAATCCATTGCCGGCAAACAAAACGCCATGCACGTCATGTATGATTTGACCGTAGGAGACACCGTAGGATGTTCATCTTCTAAAGAAGGATTGGCCGCCATTGGCTGTGCTGCGCTTCACCTATTTTGGCTCTCGTCGAGTCTCTCTGTTGGGATCCGCTGTGGCGCTGTGACAAACACCCGAGCGTGACATTCAAGTTGGCTTGGCCACGCCATTTATTTTTCTGCAAGTCATGCAGGCTTCACAAGACAATGACTCGTGAAACGTGACAAACCTGTCACAGGTCACAAAAGAAGGCACAACAGAAGGAACCTACCAGCTTCAGTGGTCTTTGCGAGCAAGTGCTATTGAGTTGACATCAGTCATCAGTGTCTATCCTCACAACCTCCTAAACCTGCAACAGCCACCTTGGGTCCACAATTGGGCTGGTCTACAGCCACTCCTCCGTCCCGAAAAAGAAATAGAAAAAGAAAGTGAAGCGCCTCCGTCCCGTCCAAGCCGCAGGGGAAGCCTTGGTCTCGGAGCCAGGCCTCCAGACCACAGACCACCTGCCGACGGCGAAGCGGCTGAACGGCGAGAAAAAGCGACACGCGCGGTGGGCAGTGTAAGGCCGCAGAGAGAAATAGAATGTAACATTGAAAACGAGGTTTCGACGTTACGGAACGCCTTTTTCCCTTGAGCCAAAATACGTCAAGAGTCACGTGTCTGCAGTACCCTATAGCGGAGTATATATGGGCTGTACATACAAACACTCCTCCTCTTGCAAAGCACTGTACTGCTGCGCAAGCATAAAAGTAAACATGTGAAACTCTCGCTGCTTAGCCACTTTCAGTTGTGGTAGTGGAGCTTGGCCAGGGACCTTACTCCAAAACATCTAACTGTCCTTTGCTTCGCTTGCTGAGGAATGCATATTGCAGATCCTCCATGGTTTTGCGAAGCTGCACCCCAGGAACCGATTTGGTCAAAACATCGGCTTTGTTCTTGAGACCTGGAACGTGGTGCACTTTCAAGTGGCCTTCGGCGACCCTTTCTTGCAACCATAGGTAGCGAGTTTGGATGTGTCTGGTTTTACCCAAACCCACTCTATTCACAGTTCCTTTGGCTGCATTGGAATCGCCTTCGATGGTGACTCCTAATTCCAAACCAAAGTCTGCGCATAGGCTTTGGAGGCCTAAGCCCACAGATCCTCCCTTCACAAGTGCATAGTATTCACTCTCACCTGTTGAAAGGGCTACAGTGGATTGGATGTTACTACTGTGTTTCAACACGTGCATGCCGTACATAGCAACCATGCCAGTCGTGCTTTTGCGCGTCACAGCGTCACCACCATGGTCGGCATCGACCTGCACCCTCAGCCTTGAGGGTATCTGCTGCGAACCAAAACATTGCCCAACATCAGGGTATTTCTTCAAGTACCTGATGAGACGCTTCAAGTCAGCAAGTTTGGCTTCCGTTGGTGATACCATACCTCGAGCAAGGTTCTTGACTGCGTGCCCAATATCAAGTCGATCTTGGGACAAGTACGCAGCGCGCATCGTTGCTGAACGATACTTCGATGCCTCGCTCTTATCAAGCAGCGGACTGCGGCTTTCCAGCATCTGCTGATCTGCCGACTTCTTGACATCTGGTGATTCTACACCATTTGCCTTTTCCAGACCAAATGCCTGGATCAAAAGATCAACATGTCTCCGATCGGCTTCGATCACAATTGACCCTTTGCCGTTCGTCTTTTCGACTCGGATTAACCGATTCAGAAAATGAGCTTCTGTTCGGTCTCCATCCTCGTCTCCAAGAATTCCGAGACATTTCAGCTCATAGGCATCTTTGAGGACTTGGCTGAGCTTTTCCAAGTGTTGGGCGTCTCCAAGTGCTAGGAAGTCATCTCCATGCACCATCACTCTGACGTCCCAAGCTTCTTGGTAGAAGACTGATGCATTTGACAAGCCTCTGCGGAAACCAGCTTTCTGCAGAGTCTCTGTGTAGTGCGTCTGCCAGATATTTGGAGCATCCTGTGTTCCATACATCGACTTCACGAGAAGTCCACAGGTTTGTCCATCTTTGCTGGCTTCGTCCTCAGGTGGCAGCTCTATGTAGATCTTTCTCTTTGGAGTTCCATAAAAGTGTGCTCGTGAGATGTCCCACAAGCCCAGCTTCAGCGGCTGGTTGTGGCAGGACTTTCTCTTTGTTGCCCACAACGAGCACAGCAGTCTCATCGCCTCCAATGGGGGCGTGCTGCTGAAAAGCAAGTTGGCTGGCAATTGTTCTTCTTTGGTCTTTATTGCCTTTATCTCACGCACAACTAAACGGCTCCTATAGTTCGGGTTTGTTGGATCTCCCTTGTTGGTGTCCAACCATCTGACTGGAATCGGGGGCTTCCCCGTTTCCTCAAAACATTCGGCTCTCGGCCGGGTCACATAAACACCATGCTTTTCTTTCAAATAATTCATTTCAAGGCGTCTTGCCTCTTTCACTTTCTCGGCTGGCAAAATGCCGCCGTTCACATCGTCCATGTAAATTTCTTCGAACTCAGGGTCCATCAGAGGCATCTCTGGAACTGGGCCTGCTGCAAACAAATCAAAGGTGTTTAACTCACCTTTCTCGGCTAGCGTGTCACGCAGGCTCCTCAGCACTGCTTTCACAAGCGGCGGTGGGTATACCGCTGCTTGCCTTGCAATGCCTCCGATCAGATGGATGTGTCGGTGCCATGGTCCTTTGCCCGACTCATTCGAGCAGACTCCTTGCAAGACTCTGGCTAACCCTTCGTCGTTGGTCATCCAACCGGTCTCCTTTCTCACATAGCCAGTGCCTTGGAGTCCTCTTCGGTCGGTGGCCATCATTTGCCACCTGCACATTGGACCCTTCACTATGAACACTCCATCTTCCTCTGCTAAGGCCGCGACTTTCTCATCCTTCCAACTGGTCGCGGACCAAGGTGCCTCGTGGAGGAATTTTCTCCCTGAGCGATGCTGCTTGACATACAGCTCTACGCTCGTATGAAGATGGTGGACGGCTTCGTCCATTTTCCTCCTCCGGACATCCGGTGCCATGCTTCTCCAGTTAAGGTTCTGGAGCTGCGAGAACATATGGCACGGTGGCGAACCAGTCAAAAGTGCCGGTTCGTCCTTCTCAAGGATATCGTGCACCTCTTGAACATCTTCAGGCTTATTCAAGTCCCAGTATGTTCCATCACTTTTCATTTCATTCAAGTCGACCGCAAAACCCGGTCGCAACTTGTAGCGCTCTGCAAGCGCAGTGAACCTCTTGGGCGAGTAGATCTCCATGATATCTACTGCTGACATCTGCACGCTCAAATGAGCGATGTCTCCGATCTCTTGCTCAGAGATCTCAATGCCATTCGCCTCATAGGTTCCTTGAATGATCTTCTTCAGATGCTGCTTTGCGATCTCCTTCTCTTTTACCAAGCTGGCTGCATCTGGCCTCCACCCTGCTGGTGGTGTTTCTGGAACATGTGAAAACTGAGACGTTTTCTTTGGACTCTCTTCCACTCTGGGATCAAGGTCTTCTACGGCGGTCTCTGCGGACCTCTTTGTTCCTTGAACTGGATTCGGCTTGACCTTTGCCCCAGGTGGATCTATCCGAAGTTCTCCTGTTCTCTTCTTGGGCTCTGTTGCTACCTTGGCTTTCGCCACTGGCTTCTTCTCTATCTCGGCTGCTTGCCTCTTCATCTCATATCTCTCTTTCGGGTCATCGGGATAGGTTTTCTCACCCTCTGCTGCTGCTGGCGGTGAGCTTCCCGACCCTGCGCTCGTTGCTTCTTCCTTCTTTTCTGGTTCCCCAGCCGCGTCTTCGGCTGGGATGTCG